CCAGCGCCAGTGAGACAGAGCCTGGGCCCACCTGTGAAGGATATTGTGCAGCTGACAGCATGTGGATCTGGGTGTGGCGATGGAATTGAGGTGGATGGGATGGACAGGCAAAAGTAATCGTAGCTGCTTTCTTCAGAGGGAACAAGTGAGATCCCAGAGGTGCCGAATCTCCGGAAGAAAGCAGAACACTCAGGGAGAATTCTCAGCTCAGTAGGACTGCTCCCATCATCCGAACACGTGGCGTTAAAAGACACAAACTCAAAGCAACCTCTTTTAGGGATTTCTGCCACTTTCCATGTTAGCCTGGTGTCAAACTATCCAGATATTCATGTTTACGAGATGCCTACATCCTCCTAGCCCAGCTGGCACATTGGTCCCTTCTGCAGCACTACTGTTTGTCCATGTGACCCTGCCTGCATTTCCCATATGTGTTGTCTGACCGATTGCCTCCATCAGTGCTTTTCATCAAGTCATAAATCGAATGGAGGAAGCAAGCAAAGCAAGCCAGCATACCAAACAAAATCTACACAGTTCAAGTTCACAGAATTATTCTGCATGTGAGTGAAGGGAGGAAAGCTGATTCAAATTTGGGAAAATTTGATTCACTAAAAGTTTGATTGACTCACACAGTGGGCACATGGCAAAACATGTGATCAGTCAACAAATGTTTAGTGAATTGAATTTTCTCCTTTAGCTATAGTCAAATTGACTTCCACTCTTACGGGGAGACATTTCTGGACCTAACAAGTAGCTCTCTCTGAGGCACGTACAGTGGGAAGAAAGGGGGAGCATTGATGTGCTTCTTAGTGACTCACTTGATGATTACTTAGTTGTTTGAAGGGCTGGGCATTATGCAATCAACCCCCACTCCTATCCCCCAGGTTTACCCCCCTAACAATCTGGGATTTTTCCGTTATTTGTCAACCTTCCTGGAGGCATGTTGATTTTTCCACTAGATTTTATGGGCATGTCTCAGGGCAACCTATACTCGCCACTCTAGAGAATTTCAGATTTCCCACTGGAGGCAGAACCTGGGAGGGCAGTGCCAGGGCCTCTCCTGGTCCAGAGCAGAACCCTGACTCCAGAGTTTCCTGACAAGCTCTGCTGAAGAAAGCAAGCTGGAGGGATAAGTGATGCCTGCCCTGCATTCTTCCACTCGAACTTCCCTTCATAGGCAGTCTGATTGCGCCTCTTTTGTCAGAGGTCGCCAGTTGTCAGCGTTCTCCTCTTGTGTTTTCATTCTGTTCAGCCCCTGGTTCATTTAGGCATGTCCTGGGGATTTTTAAACCGGCCGAGGTTTAGAGATGGCTTGTTGAGGAGCTTCTGCAGTAGCTTGTCCTGGAACACAGCCACCTTCTAACTCAGCTTCCTGTGAGGCACTGAAGAGTCAGAGTGAGGATGGTGTCTTCTGGAAGTCACGACAGTCTACTGTATGGCTGCCAAAAGATTACAGAAAGGCCCATACGAATTCTCTTTCAACATACTCTCTTGTAGGAAATTGTGTTCAAGGTGAATTTGTTTAATTTCAACCATATTTATGTCCCGTGATTTGAATAAGGAGCTCTGGTGGCATGGTGGTTACGCATTGGGCTGTGATCCAAAAGGTCCTTAGTTCAAAATCACCAGCCTCTCTTTGGGACAAAGACAGGGATTTATATTCCCATAAACAGTTACTGTCTCAAAAAGTCACAGGGGCAGTTCTACCCTGTCCTATAGGGTTGCAGTGAGTTGGCATAGATAGGCTCAATGCCAGTGAGTTTGATTTGACTTTTATGATTTGAATATGATATACAAGTAAGTACAGGAGGGACTGGACAGAAAAGAGACCAGGTTGGACATGAGTGTAGTAAATGATGGGATATTTGTCAATCTACAGAATTTGGTACCTCACTTCTTTTCTATCCAACCTATCTTTGTCTTACAGATTCCAACTCCTGTGCACACTTCAAATATTTCCACTTACATTTTTTAACCTTAGCCGCCACCTTTTCAGTCCAAGACACACAGTCACCTCTCACCAAGATTAATGTCATAACACTTAACTGGTCTTCTCACATCCATTCCTAATTCCCTCCTAAACCATTCTTTACAGAACAGCTAAGGCAATCTTCTTAACACAAAATGTGGTCATGCCATTCTTCGGTAAAATTCCCGATAGCTTTGTGTCGATTCCAACTCATAGTGACCCTACAGGACAGAGTAGAACTGTCCCTGTGAATTTCCAAGACTGCAAATCTTCATAGGAATGGAAAGCCTCTTCTTTCTCCCCCAGAGCGACTGGTGGTTTCAAACTGCTGACCTTGCAGTTAGGAGCCCAACGCTGATTAAAGGGATATAATTATGCATTGCTTAATGTGCTCCCTGCAAACCTATTAAACCTCCTAAACTAGTCACACTGTGACCTTTTGGTATCGAAACTTAACAGGACTGACCCCCACCCCCCCACCTAGTCTCTGACCTTCACTCTGCTAATCCTTTTGTCATGCATGCAGATCAAAATTGTGCATTTGGTGTTCCGGCACCAATTCCAGAATTTCTGATTTAGGAGGCAAAGTGGGGCCTAAAGACTTGCTTTTCTAACAATTTCCAGGAAATGCTTGGTGCAGCCAGTCTGGGGGCCACTTTGAGGTGAGGCTTAGGTTACCCTTTCTGTCCTTGCATTGCTCTGGGCTTGCTGGGCTCCTGCTGTGTGTTCATGGTGCAGCTTCTGCTTCTCCCCTGAAGTCCTTCTTGATGTCACATGAACGTCTAGCGACGTAGATAATTATTTCATGACCAGAATCCTTGCAAGGATAAGCTATTCTTTTTCATGATTTAGTGATTCTTTCTATCTTATGCTGTTTTTCTAGTTTCTTGCATATGGAAAATGCTAAATGATTATTTTTTGAATGAATGAACACTGATATTTCCTTTTTACAGGTAAGTGGAAATACCTATTAACACAGACAGTGTTAACGAATACAAAAAGTAAGCAAGGATTATTAGCCAACCTGTACACAAGGAATGATTGCAGTTTGTTTGGTAGGCGGGGCAGCGGAGCATTGTAGGGTTTTGTCAAGGCCCTGCTACAGGTTCCAAATGAGTTGGCATCAATTTGATGGCAGTGGGCTTGGTTTGATTGGCACATTGTGGAAATTCCCAGCCCCCCCCCCCAAATTTTGCTTACTCGGGTTCAATAACGAGCACGCTTGTATCTCAGCTTACCTTCCTCTGCAATTCCCTGTTTTGTTTTATGGGCGGTTAATTGCCTATTCACTCTTGGTTTTTTTATTATGATTTGTGCTGTTTTTCTTACAGACATGGAATGTGCAGATGTCCCACTGTTAACTCCAAGCAGCAAAGAAATGATGTCTCAAGCATTGAAGGCAACTTTTAGTGGTTTCACTAAAGAGCAGCAAAGACTTGGAATTCCAAAAGGTAAGCTTGGGTGCTTGCAAAGGGAGAGGCCAGGCCCTGAGGGAATGCTCCCTGGTCTGTCTTCTCAGTGGGGTTGTAGGCAGCCATCATTAGTGACCATACTTTAGCCGGCAGCTACAGGTTGCTGCAGGCATCTGTTAGAGCAATCATAGACATGCACGCTAATGCTCCTTCATCTCCTAGGTTTGTCAGTGCCATCTTTGTCATGTGTAGTGATTCCTGGTATGTCTGCCCATTAGAATCCTTTCATGGGCTTCAAAACATTCCACAGCCTAGGTTCTACTCCAGACCAATTAAATCACAAATCTCTGCTGGTTTCGATATCTATCTTTTCAAGCTCCTCTGGTGATCCCAGGTTTCAGAAATAATTTTGGGAAGCACCGTCTGAATATCACGGAGTTCAGATGGATTACACATTGGGCAGCCAACCACGGGGTTGGTGATTTGAACTCACCCGTCTCTCTGTGGGAGAAACAAGAAAGATGCAGCTGTCTGGTCCTGCAAAGATTGAAAGTCTCAGAAACCCAAAGGGACTGTTCTGTTTTGCCCTATGGGGTCATTATGAATTGGAATCGACTCAGTCAAAGTGAGTTTGGCCTAGGTTTGGTCTAAACATCACTCTGGGGCTCCGTTGAAATAATTAGTTCAATGACCTGCATTTTGTGGAATGTAGTAATGTTGCCTTTCTAGTCCATCTGCTTTGGTGAAACGGGTTTATCCATGAATGCACGGCCACCAGAATTGATCAAAAGGAGAAATGGGTGGTGAATATTTAAACTGCCATCACGGAACACTTTATGAACAAGCCAAGAACAAAAAGAGCAGTTCTCTATTATAGAGTAAGCTTCCTATTGCTTTTAGGTTTGGCCTGTTTCACTGCTAGAGAGACTTACAGCCTAGTCAGACCAAAGCCTTAGCGAGATACTGTGAATGGCTATGTACATATTTTCCCATGTATACTACTTGACCACACACCTCAACTGACTGCAGTGCCTAATTTCTTCTGAGGAACAGCATGAAGAACAAAGTGAACTCTGACCGTAGGCTTCGTTAACGTCTTATAATGGAATCTGGCCATCTAACGGGGATCACTTTGGAGGGAAGTGTGCTGTGAGCATTTCAACCTGCCGTCATCACAAGTACTTTAAGTGTCATAGGTTGGTGTAGTCATGTTAAATCCGTGGCTGTGCACACACACTGCATGGTCTGTTCTACAATATTACTGAAGAGACCTTAATTTGTATATACTTTGCAGGATGTCTTGTGTTCTACAGGCACCTAATAAAATTACTGTTGCAAGTACCATTTGAAGGACTGAAGATTGCTAATTGGTATGGTCAATACCAAACATAATTGGATAAGATAAGAGTAATTAGGAGTGACGATCTTAAGTACAGTAGTTAGGAGCAGGGAAAAAAGCAGGGTGAAATCCCCAGTAGATACTTTCCTTTGTTGTTGCTTTTAGAGAAGCCATTTATTCCCTTTAAAAACCTGCGCAAGCCTAATGGGGATAAGGCAGTGGTAGAGGAGATTTGTGGCATCTGAATGGAGAGTGGAGAACACGTGTGTGACGTGTGACCTCACCATAGTGACTTCCTAGCTGGCAGAATAGAGAAAGTGTGATGCTGAAGGTGGGGAGGAAGGTTATAGAATAGTGGTTCTCAATCTGTGGGTCAAATGACCCTTTCACAGGGGTCACCTAAGACCATTGGAAAACACATAAATATTTCACAATATATAGTTTTGTGATTAATCACTATGCTTTAATTATGTTTAATTATGTTCAATATGTAACAATGACAATATATCTTGCATATCAGATATTTACGTTACGATTCATAACAGTAGCAAAATTACAGTTATGAAGTAGCAACAAAAGTAATTTTATGGTTGGGGGGTCACCATAATAGGCACTGTATTAAAGGGTTGCAGCATTAGGAAGGTTGAGAACCACTGCTTTAGAAGATCCCCAATGGGGCATTTATATACACATCGATGCTTCCTAATTCTATGAACCAGGATAGCATCCTCAGCCTAATAGCACTGCCCTGGGGCTCAAGACAGAGTGCAGAGCTGACCTCCTCTACTCTCCTTTGCTCTCTCTCCTCAGACCCCCGGCAGTGGACAGAGACCCATGTTCGGGACTGGGTGATGTGGGCTGTGAACGAGTTCAGCCTGAAAGGTGTGGACTTTCAGAAGTTCTGTATGAATGGAGCAGCCCTCTGTGCCCTGGGGAAAGACTGCTTTCTTGAACTGGCCCCCGACTTTGTTGGAGACATCTTATGGGAACATCTAGAGATCCTGCAGAAAGGTAAGGGTGTGCAAACAAGTTGAGTTAGGGACAGGGAGATAGCTGTGAGAATAGATTGACAAAATTTCCATGGGGGGGGGGGGTGCTGATTTCAGTGAGCTCTCTCACTCTACAGACAAGGGCCTCGTCCCGTGCCTGGCATATAGAATGTTGTCAAGAAGTATGTGTTCGTAGTTGAGAGTTTTACTATGGTTTTTAAACTTCAGAAAGATTGGACTCCTGAACCTTCTAGGTATGCAAAGTTCTGGCCCCACTCCTATTTCAGACGTGTGCACTGTTTAAACAAACAGTACCCACAGCCAATGCGTAAGATAGCTTGGTTTTTTTCCCCCCATTTATTTATTTATTTTTGATAGCTTATTTTTCTGACAATAATAACGCGCACACCTCAATTTATGGCAGTCACACCTTTGGTCACATCCACAAGGAGGCTTAGCCTCTCAGAGCTTATGGTAAGAGAGGTTTCTTTATCCATGAACTGGCTTGGAAGTGCAAGAATATAGTGCACCTTGTACAACTGAAGCAGAAGTGATGGGGGTATATCAGGACACCATGTGGCAACCTTGCAGTGACATGGCCTCCCCTACCAGCCTCTTCCAAACTTTTTGAACCAAGTGACTCATGTACCACAGTCTTGGCTGAAGACAGAAACAGCAGCAGGCGGCAAACTTGGGTGTTTTCGTGCTTGTTTTTTTTTTTCTTGAATTTCTTCTTAAAATAAATTGTAGTTACCAGCAGTCAGCAGTGTCCTCCAGCTGACTGTAAGCCTAGAAGCCTGTTGCCCTCTCTAACCCAGGCCCACCCCTTCTCTGTGGTCACCAGCGCTTGGTGCAAAGGATGGGTGAAGGGAGCCAAGTTCAGGATTAGCACTTTTATTCCACAGAATATCTTATTCCGTTTAAGAATATTTTCTACCTAGCAATGCTCAACAGGGATCTAAGTTAGATTCCCCTGGGAACAAGAGTATTATCTCAATCTCGTCTCTTCTGCTTTGGTCGAAAACTACACACATACACACAGAGAAGGAATAGGTGAGTCTGGGTGTGGCTACGGTTGCAGAGGACTGGCGAGTCGGCAGCTTCAGTGACTCCCCAAAGCTCTGGTATGTTCTCTGTGAAACGGCATCTATGCCCACATACTAGTGTTGAAACCAGCGACCTGTTGATAGAGGGGAGAGACAGGGCAGGCTCACACGTTATCTGATTTAACGGTTGACATAAACATAACAGCAGATTCCACTAGATTGTGTAACCCAAGTATATTCTGCGAATATAATGTTTCCCCCTTTTTGTCAGAATGGACCGGCCAGGTGTTCTGGGGCCAGTGAGCTGTCTCTGATCACAGGGAACAATAATACAGACATAGCATGTCCTTGTTACCCAAGTGCTTGAAAATACATTTCTCTTTTGATTCTCAAAATAAAACTGTGACATAGGAAGGGCAGTTCTGTTCTTGTCCTCATCTGTAAAATGAAGCTCACTCCGGTTAGTTGCTTTCCTCCAGATCCCTGATTTTGTTAACGTGGGGCTTCTCTTTTACAAAAGGAGTGAACTTTCTGTCCTGCGTTCGTCGTACAGTCATAGGGACTCAGTGGGGAGCCTCTGAGCTCCCTGTTCAGGTAGGTTTGGTGTGCCTAACTGCAAGGAATAATTTAGGAGAAATGGACTGGGTGTGCTCGAGACCAAAACCCATAGCACCGCACCCAGTCTCCTCTTGAGAGAGGCAAGAAGAAACCATCCCTCTCAGATCTCCGCGGGCTCACCAGGGTGTTTGTTCTGAGGCGATAGCTTTTGTTCTGAAACGAAACTAGAACAGCTCAGAAGCCAAAGAGCAAAGTTGTTTGGAGCAGAGTGGAAAGGCCAGAGGTACAGGGGCCAGAGGTACAGGGATGTTTCGATCTGATAAGCTGCTAAAGCAAAGTTTAATAATTTTATCTCAGCTAGAAACTGTTTTTCTATGCAGGCATAAACTTGTTTTCTCTGCAGTCTCTGTTCCCAACAAGCTATCAAATACTTGGGGCGGGGGTGAGGGGTGGGGGGAGACACACCAACATCTCTTTATGTCTACTTCTTAGAGTGAAATACAAGCAGACTGCTCCATTCAAGAATCAGAGGCCTCATCCTTTGATTCTAGTTCGAGAAGACAGAGGTCCCCACAACTCAGTGGAGAGCCTTCCTAACCATAGTTACCCATCATCCACATACCTCTCTCTTCCCAAGGAAGTTGGTGTCTGTGCAGCAGTTTAATTATGTTTCTCTTCTCCCCCTACATACAAGCTCAGTCATAATTTCATCAAAGCAGTTTCCTATTCAGAGTCCTACTTCTCAATTGCGCCTGAATTTGAAATCTGAGTACAATTAAAACACAACACAACACACACACAACTCCTAGCATTTGCTAAAAGAAAACAAGGACAGGAAATCTACTTGTCTAAAGATTACAATATATTTCCAAAAAGCTTTGATGAGTTGAAGGCTGGGGGCTGATCTTGGTAATGTCTTTCAGTCTTTGATTCTGATGTGATCTATACACATACAGCACAGATACATCTAGAATTAGGAAGATGTTAAATTCCTTTTTGCATCTGCCGAAACCACACACTTAGCCATTCTTTTGTGATCTCACCCTTAATAAGGCCCCATTCAGGATAGACTCAGACACCAAGCGCAGTTCAAGAGCATATGACTTTCTTAGAAGAGGGACCCAGATCATTGCCCTCCTTGCAGCCAAGATCTTGGTAGATCCAGTCTCACTTGTATGCTGACCTTTTTTTGTCTCATTCCCTGCCCTGTCTGTTGCAGAGGATGTGAAGCCCTATCAGGTTAATGGAGTGAACCCCACATATCCAGAGTCCCGTTATACCTCGGATTACTTTATTAGTAAGTTGTTCTTCCACTCCTCTTTCCTTATCTTGCTTGTGGACCTAAAAGGGGGTTCCTGTTCTAGCTCCTCTCAGGCTCCTTTATGGTAATTCCATACAAAATAATAATTGCTGAAGTATACAATCCCCTGTTATTCATTCAAAGGCATAAAGTTTCAATTCTTTGCATGTCTTATTTACGTGCAAGTTCCTCCATGCTATCTCTGAGATAATGGGCTCTGTTGGATCAATGAGTAAGCACTCAGCCCTGAATCAAAAAGTTGGCTGTTCAAACCCATGCAGCTGCTCTGTGGGAGAAAGACCTGGCCATCAGTCGTTATGAAGATGACAGTGTTCTGCTCTATCACATGGGGTCACAGGAGTTCTCAGATATCTTTCGCATCTAAGTTACACTTAGAAGTACATCTCCCACAGAGAAAATACCAGCTGGCCTGTAAACTTTTCACCTTATTTGCTTCTGTGCATATGGTGACAATCACAGGGTTAGGTTAGATATTTGATCTTGGTCCTTGCCCTTTTTTTTTTTTCACTTGTGAGTGGGACAAAGCCTGGTGCTATTGCATCAATTCCACTTACAGCAACCCCATGTGACGGAGATTCCTTTTCCCATAAGATATTCTTGGCACTGGTTTCCTTGAAAGCCATCCTCAAGAGTGTGCCAGGCAAGTTCAAACTCTGTTTCAGAAAACAAGCCTTCACCTTTCAAGTGTTACGGTTTACGGCGGGGAGAATGGTCCAGCAGGCCACTTCCATTGAACAGGGAACCGTCATGAGCTGGGGGCTGACTCAGCACCAACCATGATAACAACGAAAGAATATTGATGGAGAGAAGTTATAGGGAATGTTTTTTAATTCAATAGCTTACATGGGAAGATTGACTTTTGTTTTATTATTTTACCTTTTTTAATCCAACACCACTAATAGTAGCCACTATGTGTCAGAAATGGCACAGTTGCCCTTATTTGATTTTCATCATTGTATTAGGAAGATTTGAATCATCTCAATTGTATTAGGAGGAAGATCTGAATCATCTCAATTTTGTAGTTGAAAAAATTAGGGTAGAAAAAGAGAATCAACGTGTCAAGGAATGTAGCTATTAGGTAGTAGAGCAAAATTAGCCACCTTCTGAGAGTATTTTCCTCTTACTCTCTAAGGTAGACAGCTAGTTTGTTCTGCCTTTTAAGGGTGATGGACTCTCTTTCTCCAGCGGCAAACCCTCTCTTTTCAGGCTGTGGCATCGAGCACGCCCAGTGTGTGCCTCCATCAGCGTTCTCTGAGCCTAGCTTCATCACAGAGTCCTACCAGACGCTCCATCCCATCAGTTCCGAGGAGCTCCTCTCCCTCAAGTACGAGAACGACTACCCCTCAGTCATTCTTCGGGACCCGCTCCAGACAGACACCTTGCAGACCGACTACTTTGCCATCAAACAGGAGGTTATAACTCCAGACAACATGTGCATGGGGAGGACCAGTCGTGGTAGGTCAGATTTCCTCCTCTCTAAAAATAAACTGTTGAGTTTTCCAAGAATTACCCAACTTTGAATTTTCTCGCGCCCATATTTTCTTATACTGGCCTCTTAGATTATTCAGTGTAAGCCTTTTCATTTTAGAGCGTTCCTTGATTGTAGGCAAATCTATCACAATGACAAAAACCATGTGTTCATAGTAAACTTTTTTTTTCCTGGTACAGTATAGATGGATGTAGTAGCTTTGAAGCCATGTTTTCTTTTCTCAGAGAAATTCTTGCCCAAGTCCAGGATATACATAATTTTAAAATCAAGGAAGTAAAAGTTTGAGGTCAGCGTTACGCTTTCCTCCCAGAGCATCAACTACAGAGTCAAACTCGAGGTCTTGGTTTGGTACCTGTATCTCTGTCAGTTGCCCATCCTGGGAGCTGTAGCTTCTTCTGACTGCTTTGGATTGGGAAGACGATGGTCAGCCTAGATGGTGGTTTACTTGAAATCACCTGCATTGTGGTGAAAGTGTGTATTTAGCTAGAGGACCAGGGAGCAGAGCTGCCAAAGGAAGGTCCTCTTTGAGGGTGATGATGATGATCAAGGAGCCCCGGTGGCAGAGCGGGCTGCTTGTTGGGCTGTCAACCACCAGTTCAACAGCTTGAAAACACTAGGTTCTCTGTGAGAGAAAGATGATGCTTTCTACTCGCGTGAAGCTTTATGGTCGCAGAGGCAGTTCTACCCGATGCTAAAATGATCACTGGCGGTGAAGACCATGTTGCACAAAAGGGTAAGCAGCATGCACAGGATGTTTAAGATTAGGCACGATGAGCTCCGAGGCATCCAGACGCCTAGGGCGCCGTCCGGATGGTTTTATTTCTAACAAAGTGCAGTTGAACGTAGAGAGGGATTTGTTCATTTAGGCATACCAACTGGTTTTTGAAATTTTGGAAAAGGTGACTTTTCAGGGAGATAAATAACAAGCAGGAACAGAAGAAAGTTGACCAAAGTGGTGCTCAGAAACCCTTTGTAATGGAATACCAGGCAGGCCTGGGTCCGTTGATTAGTGACTTCAGCTCAAAGGCTGACCATGATATCACAAACTGTCTCTACTTGGAAGACTTAGTCATCATGTTTCCCCCCCATCCCTAAGCATGTTGGCCCATCTATATTATCACCTTTACAAGTTTTCACATTTCCTCCCAGCAGTCCCTTGTGTAGGGAAAGTCCCCACTCAAATCAGAACTTGTCATCTGCCCTCACAGGGCCCCAGGGTATTTGTGCTTCAGACAGAGGGTGATGGGTGGGACCGATTTTACCTTCCCCTTTCTGCGACTCTTTTAAGCTGTTTGGATGTATTAAAATACGTATGTATTTGTGGTCGGTAAGTGCAGTGAGGCTGATGATCTGGGGCCCAGGGAATCCATGTGGCAGAGTGCAACTGCTCCATAGGGTGTTCAGGCTAGACTCCTTCTCGGAGCACATGGCCAGCTCCTTCTCCTCTGTGTCGCTCAGTGGGTCTGAACTGCTAACCTTGTGGTAAGCAGCTGAGTGCTTAATGGCTATACCACTAGGTCTAAACTTCGAGTAAATCCACCCTCACATTGTTCTTAAATTGTGCTTAGCTTTATAGTTGTGATATTGTCCCATTGCTCTTGTGTTTGTTCCTCAACATCCTGCTAAACCCCAATTAGTGACTTCAGACAAAGAGTGACCCTTACAAAGGGACATTAAGGTAGTTCTCTCTGGCTCCAATCACCCATTTTCCCTCTTAGTTTCCGGCAGAGACCACCTTGTGCCGGGAAACTTATTGAATGTTGGGTGGACTGCAAGCAGAACTTAGTGCAAGTGTCAATTGAATCTGACATGGTATGATTGACTGTCAGCTGGTTATTGCTAATAATAACCATGGATTTTAAATAGTGCTCTATAGTACATGACATGCTTCTGTTGAAATCCTACCTATTTGACCAGCTCTGAGAACTGTCTTTATACACATATGCTTAATGATTCAGTGTGGGACTACCCCAGCGATTGCTTTTGTGAGTTGGGGGTCTGCTTAGAAGAGCCAGGTGGCTTTGAGAGCTTTCTGAGGTGCTTCGCAGAAAAGTTGGCTTTGGAGGTCATAGAGGAGACATGCTCTGTATTAATACAGCAGCATAACCAAGACTCCAGTCCAGTGGATTTGGCCCATTTTGGAGAAAATGCCTATAAATGAACCTTCCCTGCTCCAGGATTGTGGAATAGAGCTAAAATGAAAGCAGCCTCCTGCTCTCAACTAGCAACTTTCAACAGAGTTGCCTTTGGCTTGTGTTTGAGGTATTGCCAGAGAAGAGTCACAGCTAGTTGAGTGTCATTGCTGATGGAAACTCCTTGGAACCCCAATAGTTTTTCCAGTGGGAATTCTGGTCCCTATGCCTCCAAATATAAAAATTACTTCCAGAGATAGGCTTTTCCAGAGAAACTCAAGTATCACAACTGCCTAAAGAACAATGACCTGGCGGGGTGTTCTTCATGGAAACATAAATCTTCTCTCTTAGACTTGGCAGAAAAAAATGAATGGCCATTAAGACCAATAGCTGGAATGAGCAAACACCTTATTATGAGATGCCACAAAATTTCCTGTTGTGTTAAAAAAGAGATAAAGACATTCCGATATGCTGTTTTCTGGAGTCATTGAATTTCTGGAAAGGTTGATCCCTTCATTTTTAATAGAAGTGGCAGTGTGGCAGTGGACTAGACAGGCAAGACATAACTGTGAAGCTCTCTCGTTTGCTTCTAGAGATCACCTTTGAAAGGGTGATTAGTAATGAGATGAAGCTTCTCAAACAACTACTTTTGCATCAGACTGGCCAACAAACATTTTGGTGACGCAAATGTTAGACTTATTTCTGGGTTTATTTGACCTGCTGATTCAAAAAATGGCGCCAGTTTTCCCCTATCAACTCTACTTTTTTTTTTTACCTACGGAATTTATGCCATATAAAATTCTTCACTCTGCTAACCTATAAAAAAACCATGATAGTGTAATGTAGTGTGCTACCTAGTCTGAGATAGGGGAAGTGCACGTTAGCTTTATGTAGTTTGTGTTGAACTAAATATTTTAGGCCAAATTTCACATGGTGGCCTTTGATCCAAAGATATTGCTGAGCAGTGCAAATTACATGAACTTGGAATTTTCCCCAAGTATCATTCCACCTTACTTAGGAGCTGAATAGCAGGCAGTTCCAATTTGTTATCTTAAAAAGGAGCCAGAAATAAGAGTTAATGTGCCATAAATGAGGAGCCCTGATAACACAAGGGGTTATGTGCTTAACTGCTAGCCACAAGGTCAGCTATTCGAGCCCACTGGCCGCACTGGCTGGTAGTGAGTTTGGTATAAAAAAATAGGATAAAAGTGTTATGAATCCTAAAATGGGTCTATCAGGGTTCAAAGTCCTTTACTAAAATGTTCCAGTTTTGTTATAGATGGTACAATTTCTCTATCTGTGCACAGAAACTCTTTTGAAGAAGTTAGAATTTTTCTTATTAAGAAGCTTGGATTCAACTCCCACTCTTAAACATGTAACATAAATTATCCAATGACTTTTAGATATTAAAATGCATTCTGAAATGGCTACTGCACAATTTGAAGACAAAAACTTTAGATCTTTAAAACGTTTATGCAAATTGCTCTGAAATCATACATTTTAAACACTTTGAATTGCCCTCACACCTTCCACATAGGTGTTTTTCAATTTTCCACACTTCTCAAGCCGCGTTCTGGTTTTCCAATATCCAGTTGTAGTTTTAGTGTGTATCGCACAGCCTACCATTCCAAAAAGAAAAACCTGCTGCCACCCATGAGCAATGAAGAGGGATTTCTGGAGTCCCGGTTGCCTAGTGGTTACACTCTGGGATTCTAACTGCAAGGTCAGCAGTTTGAAACCACCAGCCACTCGTCGGAAGAAAGACTGGCCTTTCTACTCCTTTAAAGAGTTACAGTCTTGGAAACCCACAGGGGCACTTCTACCGGGTCCTGTCAGCATTGGCTCGATGGCAGTGAGTTTGATTTTGCTGTAGATATTGCTGCATAAACTTGGTCGCTTCGTTTGGTCTTTTGATTTGTGATGAATCTGAGTGGCCATCTAGGTTTCATGGTTTAACTTCGGTGGCCTGAGAGCTATCTAAAAGTAGAACGTGGAAAACATTCCTGTGAACCTTTCTGCTCTGCTCTTAGATGCATTTGTTTTCCTCCAGGATTTTGTATTAGCCTCCTTTTTAATGGGTAGTTTTGCCAGTGGAAATTTCTCCAGGAGTTATTGTGTAATCATAGCAGCTGTTTATAACCAGGTTTGGGAAATTAATGAACTTGCGTGATACTGTGGTCAGCTAAGCATGCCTTAAAGCAACTCAGAGTAAAGGGTTTCTGACATTGCTGTGGACATTAACCCTTGAATCAGTTCTTTTGTTTATCGTCTAACCTTTTCAAAAGAAATGTCAAGTACATCATTGTACTTGGACAGGATAAAGCATAAAGATTTCTGTTTAGAAGAGTGGGAGTACTACTTTATCTCCTGGGAAACACGTCTCATAACTTCATTCTCTAGTTGAGAAGGCTTAGAAGCAGGGCATGTGTCTCATTTTACAATAGTATTTGGGAAAAATGCTTAAAAACAAAATCACACTGCAGTTCCAAGGTCAAGGCAGGTCAATCTTCTCTAGACTAATGGAATTTTTTTCTTATGACTAAAACATTTTGCCCAGTTGGGCCTTTTGTAATCATCTCATTAGCTTGACACTGCTCTGATTTCTACAACTATTCATAACACACTAGTTAGAAGTTTTATATTAACATGTTGCTTCTCAGCCTTTAAATGTCTGACTTTAGGATTCTTGAGGTCCCGAGCATTGTTATCTATCCGCCTCTGACCGATGTAAACAGCATTCAAATCCAAATCTCTGAAGTCAGAGCCATAAAACTGAGCACCTAGTGACACAAGGCAGCCATACTCCCAGAGCAAATCCACAGCCTTGAAACTTCCATTCCTACTGAGCCTTTCCCTCCTTTCATCCCTGCTGTGGATTTGATTAGCAATCTGTTGTCAGATAAGAGGGTTTTTACAGCTGTTGTTTTTCCCAATCCCTCCTCCCCTGCCCTCTGCCTACCTCCTCCTTTACCTCCAGGTAAACTCGGGGGCCAGGACTCTTTTGAGAGCATAGAGAGCTACGATAGTTGTGACCACCTCACCCAGTCCTGGAGCAGCCAGTCATCTTTCAACAGCCTGCAGCGTGTTCCCTCCTATGACAGCTTCGACTCAGAGGACTATCCAGCTGCCCTGCCCAACCACAAGCCCAAGGGCACCTTCAAGGACTATGTGCGTGACCGTGCTGACCTCAACAAGGACAAGCCTGTCATTCCTGCTGCTGCTCTGGCTGGCTACACAGGTAGGCACCCTACCGCTACCTAGGCAGCATTGGTGGGTGTGCATGCTTCTGTGGATGGGGCACTGGAGGGCACTTTGTGCATGTACCCAGGGACTGAGCATCATATTCTTTTTGATGGGGGAAGGTGGGGAGGAGAGGAGACTCAAAGAACGCAGGACAATTTCTTTAGTCATTTTGCTTGTGGATAATCATATTTGGAAGTAGAAGTATTATTCTTCCCCAAGTGGTCATTCCATAGTGGTAGGAAAAACTTAAATTTAAAAATTTTTCCCCATATATGGGGAAGGGCAGCTGTCATGATTTTTGCCCTTGGGAACTTTGTCCAGTGGTCTTGCATCAAGATCACTTTCACGGCTTGTTCTTGAGTGGTCTTCTAGCATACAACAACCTCTCTCAAACAGAAGATGTCCTAGACTCTAGATCCTCCTGTAGTACAAGGCTCACTAACTTAGCTGTTCAAATATCAGAAGTGTCCTGAGCTACTGTAGATGCTGTCTAGATTCATCCTGCCCTACACAGGAAACCATTTTTTCCTCTTTTTTTACCTTACTAATCATGTTTAGATTAAAAACTTCAAAGGATGAAGAGGCCCAAGTTATACTCATGATGCATGAAAAAAGTTCCTAGAGAAAGAAGATATAGGTTAAGAGCTTGGGTTTTGATTCAGAATTTACAAGTAGAGCAAATCAGTTTATTTTCCAAATGAATTATACATATAAGTGCATATTGCCAACATTTGGAAGAATTTTTAAAGTATATCAGAAATATCTACTAAGAATTAATGTGTTGGTTGTCAGATTCTTTCTGTAAAATTATACTGTCTTCTAAAAAATTAGAAAGTGTGTTGTGAGTGGAGCTCATTTTGAGCTTTGTTTACTCAAATGTGATATGGCCTCTATTCTCTTATATTTCATCCACCTTTGGACTGGTTTCTATTTGTGGACTCTGGGGATTCAGAGCTAACCTGCAAAATCTGTGTTCTATTGAATTGTCTGATCTTAAGAGCATACTAAATCTTTATTCTTGCATTTAGGGGAGCCACATTTTTCACTTGGAGAACCAGCTATCAAATGCTTAAACACGTTATTTTTCATTCAAAGATCAAGGAATGCATCTCATCTGCTGCATTCCACATAGCACCTAGTGCTGTTCATTGCATCAAGGACCCAAGAATTGCACTTAATATGGTTAGGTAGTTACAAAGGTCTATACGGAGTCCCTCCTTTCATAGAATGACAGGTTTCTAGGTCAGGAAAAGGCCGGAAGGTTGCCTATGCTATTACATTGACCTTGTGCCACTGTCTTTGGTTGAGTTTCTCTAGTAGGTGGTTGTGCACTACTTTTCGAGGAAGGCCTTTCCTTTAAAGAATCTGTGGACAACAGAATACTGTAAAATGTACCCATGCTCATGAATGCTATCTGGAATGGGAAAAGCATATTGAGTCTCCCAGACTATTCAGAGTGGTGGCCTTCTAGATACGTGAAGAAGTAGACTTTACTGGTCTGTATTGATGAAGGAGGGGAAGGTGCTGCTTTATTGGGAAGAGAACGGAAAGATGATGGAGCTCTGAAATGACTCTGGACGTGGGAGGTCCTTGGCTGGTGAGCTCTGAATGATAACGCTCCTGTTGCTTCTATGGTTTCAGTGAACAACGGCTCTGTCACTTCTGGTCAGAAAGCTTTGATTTAATTTCTCTTTGAAAAAATATATTCTATTTGAAAGAAATATTTTTAATAATTTTATTAGGGGCTCATACAACTCTTTTTTAAAAAATCATTTTATTAGGGGTTCATACAACTCTTATCACAATCCATACATACATCAATTGTGTAAAGTGCATTTGTACATTCATTGCCCTCATCATTCTCAAAACATTTCCTCTCCACTTAAGCCCCTGGCATTAGGTCCTCATTTTTCCCCTCCCTCCCCGCTCCCCCCTCCCTCATGAGCCCTTGATAATTTATAAATTATTATTTTGTCATATCTTGCCCTGTCTGACGTCTCCCTTCACCCACTTTTCGGTTGTCTGTCCCCCAGGGAGGAGGTCACATATAGTTCCTTGTAATCGGTTCCCTCTTTCCTACCCACTCTCCCTCTACCCTCCCAGTATCGCCACTCACACCACTGGGCCTGTAGGGATCATCTGCCCTGGATTCCCTGTATTTCCAGTTCCTATCTGTACCAGTGTACATCCTCTGGTCTAGCCTGACTTGCAAGGTAGAATTCGTGTCATGATAGTGGGAGCGGGGAGGAAACATTTAGGAACTAGAGGAAAGTTGTATTTTTCATCTTTGCTACATCACACCCTGATAGTGGGACAGGAGGAAAATCAAGGGAAATAGAGGAAAGAGCTGGGAGGCAAAGGGCATTTATGGAGGTCTAGATAAAGACATGTACATATGCAAATATATTTATATGAGGATGGGGAAATAGATCCATGTGCCTATGTTTGTAGGTTTAGTATTAAGGTAGCAGAAGGACATTGGGCCTCCACTCAAGTACTCCCTCAATGCCAGAATACTTTCTTCTATTAAATTGGTATTCTATGATGCTCACCTTCCCAACACAACTGCTGAAGACAAAGCGAGTGAATAAGCAAATGTGGTGAAGAAAGCTGATGGTGCCGGCTATCAAAAGATATTGCATCTGGGGTCTTAAAATCTTGAAGGTAAATAAGCAGCCATCTAGCTCAAAAGCAACAAAGCCCACATGGAAGAAGCACACCAGCCTATGCAACCACGAGGTGTCGACGGGATAGGTATATAAGGCATCATCAGAACAAAAAATCTTACCATAGTGAATGATGGGGGGAGTGCGTAGTGGAGACCCAAAGCTCATTAGTAGGCCACTGGAGATCCCCTTGCAGAGGGGTCTCGGGGAGGAGACGAGCCAGTCAGGGTGTGATATATTCCATTTTTCATCCCTAACACAATTGTCGCTACCACCAACCATCGATATTAACAACATTCTAATGGCCATGTTTGTGAGTTTCTCCTGCATCTAGGCACGGGACAGTTTAAGATAATTAAGTTAAATGAACTGACTTTAAGTCCTAAAGTATGAGTTCAAAGAAATTTATGAAGTTTTGTCAACTCTCATGGGTGAAATTCTGATAAGAATCCGTGGGTACCATAAGAAAAGTCTTTGTAGAAATGTCTGAAGCCTGGTCTTCGCCTCGAATAGAAACTCCTCGGTCATCTTCATTGTGCTCTTCACTGGCTTTTCTAAACAGGAGCAGTAACGAATAGCCTGCAGAGCTAATGGTTTGCAAGAGTGCCTGAAAGGGTGTGACTAGGGTGGTCATAGTTCATGACAAAGATACTCCATGACTGCACGCCTCCTTAATAGAATGCACCCGTTTCTTAGAGCTCTTTGTCAGGAAGGTGGAAAGGGATGGGTGGCAGATGCTGAGCTCTGGGAGTGAGTGTGTTGTACAGTACACATTAGGGACGTGAACCGGCATCCAGAGAACCGACACTAAATGGCTGCTGACGAAGCTTTTTACACTCCAGAGGCAGAGCTGAGCAAACAGGAACCTCACATAGACCCTTTAAGCACATACCTACGAATGTCTAGAGTTGCTATGAGTCGGCATCAAGTTGATGGCAGTGAGTCTGGTTTCGTTGAAGTTCAGGAATATCTGGAGTAATGAGTGTGCTATCATCCTTTTTAGATAGATTGCTTAGTAGGTGCTCTTTTTTACTTCTTTCTTTTTATGCCAAGGAGTAAATTCTATCTCGTGGCAACCCTCTGTCTCATAGAGTTTTCAATGACTGCAATCCTACAGAAGTAGATCTGCCTTTCTTTTGGGGCATCACTTGATAGGTTCATTTTGCCAGCTCTTTGTTTAGCAGCCTAGTATAAATTGTTTGGACCATCCAGGAACTTATTTGTACTCCAAACATGGGAAAAGGGAATAAAACATTCAGAGAGTTGAAGAAAAGAGAGGTTAGCTATCGATTAAAGAGCTTCAAGACCGGCATAGTCATTTGAATTAAAGAAACCTTTTTTTTAAAGCCTATTACCATGTTTCTTCTTCTTTGTAATGAAGGATTTTATTTTTTCATACGATCTCAAGAGGCAATGAGAATGATAACCCGAAAACAGAGTCCTCTCTGCTCCCTCCAGCTCTATAACAAAGCCACTGTATGGTTTTAGGCAAATTTACCTTGTGCTCATTCTACTTTTCGTGAAGTAGACTTGTTCATCCTTATCTCAGTGGGAGGAGAGCTGCGAAAATGTAAGGGAACTAAATCTGCTAATTAAACAAATGCATGCTAGACAGTATGGAGACAGAGGTGAAAGACTAGCAATGACAAATAATTTGGCAAATGTTTGTAAGCACAAAGCAAGTACAGATACGTGCTGGTTGCTGGACGTGTGTGAAAGTTTATTGTCTTGTTGAATTCAGTATATTGGAACTATCCTTAGGAATAGTTGAAATATTGGATATTGGAAATATCCTTGAAGTGGATTCCTGGTCCAGATGAAGGTCATTTTTGTTAGGTGTGTGAAGGGCAGCCTAACTGTTGTTGACTTTAGTGTTCTGCACAATGCCTGGTGGGCATGAGCCAGCAGCACCGGCTAATCCGTCATAGAGGTTCCCTGAATCTTGTACCTCATTGTGGCCCCTTTTCATATTCAGATGCAGTCCTGGGCCATGGGAAAGAGGATGCAACATAGCGTCTCAGCGCCGTCACTACCTGAGGAACAGGCAGTGACTGCAGAGCCTAAAGTTGATCTCGGTTTTATGCTGATATGTTAAGACGAGTTAAAGTTTAGAAAAAGCTGCTTGGAAAGTAAAAATCTTTAAACAAGTGTTAGCAATACTTTTTTTTTTAATTGCTCATAAAAGTCACACCTATATTCTAACTCAAGTTCTGCCCACCTTTTCAGTCTGTTGTTCCCTTAAAATCAGATTGCTTTAGGGCACATGTGGCCACATGGAAGGTGCACCAGTACTTTACCTTTGCGTCATTGCTACTTGGCATGAACAAAG